CCCTTTCCCTCCTTTCTTCCACCAGCACATTGTGGGTTTCCCGCCTATACTAGTTCCTTCCATATTTTGCTGCTTTAACCTCTGTAAACTGTAGTTATAGAATCATAGAACCATAGAATAGTTTGGGTTGGAAGGGACCTCTAAAGGTCATCTAGTCCAACCCCCCTGCCGTGGGCAGGGACAGCTTCAACTAGATCAGGTTGCTCAGAGCCCCGTCCAACCTGGCCTTGAATGTTTCCAGGGATGGGGCATCCACCACCTCTCTGGGCAACCTGTGCCTGTGCCTCACCACCTGCAACGTCAAAAATTTCTTCCTTATATCTAGTCTAAATCTACCGCCCTTTAGTTAGTTGGGCTTGATTATTACTGCACTGTGATGCTACCAGGATGATTTATTAGGAATTGTAAATCACTGCAGCAGAGTTTAAGCTCTCCTTAGCAAACACTGTCTATAGCTTATGTAAAGAAATCCAATCAAGCTGAACAAAGAATTTTACATCACAAAGGTCTCATCAAAAACCTTTTCTCCTGTTCCAGAATAGATGAACAGTTATAGCAGATAACTATGTTGGTTTGCAAACCATTTACCTAAAGAAAATCAAACTGTTAAAACATGCTGTCTCAAAAAGATAATTTGTTCAGATCATAAAAGGCTCCAGCTATGTTAAGAGGAAGATTTTTAATGGCTGAACTGTTGGACCAAGATCCAGAACTCTGGAGACCTTTTGGATTTCTGCCATTTGTCTACCATGTAATGTGTGTAATAATTGAGCAAACAGTCTTACCTCCGCCTTCATCAACATATTTGTTTAATCTTTCTGATCAGAGAGACCCAGTTAGCGTTTGTAAATTCCTATGCAGATCTAGAGAATGTGTCCTTTTTGCAGGAAAGCCAACACAGGGTAGCTGAAGATCATATAAGCTTAAAACATAAACTAATGTGCTGTTAGTATCCTGAACTGAAGGCACCAATAGACAGATATGTTTAAAATACGTATGCACAGCAAAAACCTTTTATCTGTTGATTCTAATACAGATGTTTTTAAACTTCGTCCTTCACATTCCTTTAATTTGTGGTCCATTACATCTGTGCAAACTGTAAAATGTTACCAAATCATTATATGCTCTCAACAGGTTGAAATGAAGACCCAAGTTGCAAATAAATAATAAATTAAATCCCTTTTTGTATAAAGTTACAGTTTCTTATGTGGACTTGTTCTAAGTTGTTTAAGAGCTGGAGCTACAGCACTGCCTATTCGTTTCACTATTTATTTCCACCAAATGTATAGACTCCCAATTTTTAATATCTCTCCACTGTTGAAAAAAGTTCTAAAGATGGCAATGAAAAACAACAGAAAATAAGAAACTAGATTTACAAAGAGGAGTTGGATTTACAAACCAATATTTTGATCCTATTTTGAAGTGATGAGTTTCATAAAACTATGTTATTTATCATTTAAATTGTAGATGCAACTGCAGTTTTCTGTTCAGAGTCTGTGAGTAAATGTGGATGTTGGTAGCTCCTAGAAATTCATGTCCAAGAAAGGACAAATTCCAGACTTCTTGTTATTGCTCAAATGTTCTTCTTTATGGAAAAAATAACTTAAACACAGAAATTCACTAGCGTAAGCAAAGAGGAAGTTTTGGAAAGGCTGTGACGAAGATCTGTTGTATTGCACTTACCTTAATGAGTCAGCGTGGGATGTGTTGTTTAGAAATTGATCTCCTGTAGGTTATTAGGATTCCTTAGGTAACATGTAATTCAAAAAATGTTGTGTTTCAGGTCTTCACCAAAATAAATGTTTTGATCCAGATATTAAAATAAAATAATTTTGACGGAAGTGAAGCATATAGCTTCATTTGAGATGTATTTCTATACAGTTTTGTTTATTTAATAAAATAAGTAAAAGTTTAAATAGGATACTGTTTAAATAAAAGAAGTATTTATACATTTTAAATCTTCAAATTAAATTTTGGATTCTTTAACATTTTCTGCAGTGTGATGGTGTTAACCAGAACAATTTTTTGAATTTGTCATCCACCACCTCTCTGGGCAACCTGTGCCAGTGCCTCACCACCTGCAACGTCAAAAATTTCTTCCTTATATCTAGTCTAAATCTACCGCCCTTTAGTTAGTTGGGCTTGATTATTACTGCACTGTGATGCTACCAGGATGATTTATTAGGAATTGTAAATCACTGCAGCAGAGTTTAAGCTCTCCTTAGCAAACACTGTCTATAGCTTATGTAAAGAAATCCAATCAAGCTGAACAAAGAATTTTACATCACAAAGGTCTCATCAAAAACCTTTTCTCCTGTTCCAGAATAGATGAACAGTTATAGCAGATAACTATGTTGGTTTGCAAACCATTTACCTAAAGAAAATCAAACTGTTAAAACATGCTGTCTCAAAAAGATAATTTGTTCAGATCATAAAAGGCTCCAGCTATGTTAAGAGGAAGATTTTTAATGGCTGAACTGTTGGACCAAGATCCAGAACTCTGGAGACCTTTTGGATTTCTGCCATTTGTCTACCATGTAATGTGTGTAATAATTGAGCAAACAGTCTTACCTCTGCCTTCATCAACATATTTGTTTAATCTTTCTGATCAGAGAGACCCAGTTAGCGTTTGTAAATTCCTATGCAGATCTAGAGAATGTGTCCTTTTTGCAGGAAAGCCAACACAGGGTAGCTGAAGATCATATAAGCTTAAAACATAAACTAATGTGCTGTTAGTATCCTGAACTGAAGGCACCAATAGACAGATATGTTTAAAATACGTATGCACAGCAAAAACCTTTTATCTGTTGATTCTAATACAGATGTTTTTAAACTTCGTCCTTCACATTCCTTTAATTTGTGGTCCATTACATCTGTGCAAACTGTAAAATGTTACCAAATCATTATATGCTCTCAACAGGTTGAAATGAAGACCCAAGTTGCAAATAAATAATAAATTAAATCCCTTTTTGTATAAAGTTACAGTTTCTTATGTGGACTTGTTCTAAGTTGTTTAAGAGCTGGAGCTACAGCACTGCCTATTCGTTTCACTATTTATTTCCACCGAATGTATAGACTCCCAATTTTTAATATCTCTCCACTGTTGAAAAAAGTTCTAAAGATGGCAATGAAAAACAACAGAAAATAAGAAACTAGATTTACAAAGAGGAGTTGGATTTACAAACCAATATTTTGATCCTATTTTGAAGTGATGAGTTTCATAAAACTATGTTATTTATCATTTAAATTGTAGATGCAACTGCAGTTTTCTGTTCAGAGTCTGTGAGTAAATGTGGATGTTGGTAGCTCCTAGAAATTCATGTCCAAGAAAGGACAAATTCCAGACTTCTTGTTATTGCTCAAATGTTCTTCTTTATGGAAAAAATAACTTAAACACAGAAATTCACTAGCGTAAGCAAAGAGGAAGTTTTGGAAAGGCTGTGACGAAGATCTGTTGTATTGCACTTACCTTAATGAGTCAGCGTGGGATGTGTTGTTTAGAAATTGATCTCCTGTAGGTTATTAGGATTCCTTAGGTAACATGTAATTCAAAAAATGTTGTGTTTCAGGTCTTCACCAAAATAAATGTTTTGATCCAGATATTAAAATAAAATAATTTTGACGGAAGTGAAGCATATAGCTTCATTTGAGATGTATTTCTATACAGTTTTGTTTATTTAATAAAATAAGTAAAAGTTTAAATAGGATACTGTTTAAATAAAAGAAGTATTTATACATTTTAAATCTTCAAATTAAATTTTGGATTCTTTAACATTTTCTGCAGTGTGATGGTGTTAACCAGAACAATTTTTTGAATTTGTCAATTTTACCAGTGTTTGCATAACTGTAACTTAGTATCTTTTTAATGAATAAAAAGTTGGAATAAAAGTATTTATCATGATGATAGAGAAGTTCATAATAAGATATCACCGTGCAGCCTCGCATGGCTTTTCATTTTAACTCACTTGTCAAACAAGAATGGACACAGTCGAATAAGAATTCAGAGAGATGGTACATGTGTTGGATAGGCAGCCAATGGGAAGAATGTTTTCATATAAGTAAATAACATTCCAGTCCCTTGATAATTTCTCACTGTTTTTTAAAAAGAAGTTGAAAAAACCTATTGTTTACACAGATATACTTGAGAGATTTATATTTAAAATCTGAGATGCATCAGATGATACAAATTTTTTTTAAATACTGTTCTAATCAGAGGAGAACCAGAATGAAAAAGATAATTGGTAAACAACCAGTCTCAGGCTACAAGGTCCCAGCAGGTAATCACATAAAAAGAAGGTTATTTATGGGTGCAAGCCTGAGAAAATACAGCAGTCATCATGCACTACTGAGAAGTAATGTTCACAGAAATTCATGCTCTAGACACCTAAAGTGAGGTGCAAAGGACATCAGTTTTCAAAAACGGTGGAAAGGCTGACACTGGGTTTAGTGGGGCCAAGTTTCAGCAGCCCTTCCCGTATACCTATTCTGCTTCAACCCCAGCTCCTTGGCATGGTCCCCTCCCCCAGGCTGGCAGAGGAAGGAGCTCCCACCACAACAAAAACCTCGTTCAAAGTTTGTCTTTGTGTGCATTGGCACTGAGAGGGCATTTCAGAGCTGTTGATAAAATTGTTATTGTTACGGACATCGTTAATCATACAAAGGAACTTTTAATTGCCAAGGACCTGTACTTGAGAGCTTTATTTAGTGGTCACAGGATAAGAGTCATGGCATATGGCTTATATGATTTCACAATGAAAATGAAATATTTCACATGCCTTGAAAATTACTACAGCCAACATTCGGAGAAGTTTAAAAAAAAAAAAAAATCCTGGGGCTTTCTTCCAAAATGTAACATCACACACATGATACATGGCCAACGAAACACTCAGACGGCATTCACTCAGCCAGTCATGCCTCAGGATGCATCTTTGAACTCTCTCAGTAACCTCTGTACTGCTGTTTACCAAACATTTCTGAATTTGAAACTTTGCCTAAATTGCCAGGAAGGACAAGAAGTAGGTATGTCTATCTGTTTTTAATGTCTTACCTTTATTAAAATTATTTCACATGCTTTTTATATTAAAAAAAAAATCTTTTGTGCTCTCAGTTCTGATCTGTGCAGTCTAGTAAGAGTTTCCCTTTCTTTTTCGCCATGAAACTAACTCTGAAGGTCAGCACTAGTTCTCTCTAGTTGTTTAAAAACATGATTAGTTTTATGCAATTTCTTTATAGCTGAACGTACTTGGCTGATTGCAGAATTTTCTCTTTCAAAGTAATCTTTACTTTTAAGATTGTTCCCAAAGCTCAAGTTGTATTTATTTAGTGTTTCCAGAACACAGAAACCTAACTAACATGTATTAATAGTAATAATGGTAATAGATTCACTGTACATGGAAATTAATCAGAAATTAGTTCAAAGTAGGAAAAATATGTCATTATTTGCATAAAAGATGACTGGAAGGTGTTAAATACATAAATTGAAAACCATGCATGTGGCTAATTGTCCATTAGCACTAAATACTTAAAAATACTTACAGAAGAAAATTGCCCTTGAAGAAGAAATCAAATTAAGCAACTGAAAATGAATTGCATTTTCTGTCAAGAAGACATCTGGAGCTCTAAGTTTATAAACGGCTTGTGGCTTGTGGTAGTGCTTGGACATTGGCTAGTAGACTCTGAAGAAATTTTCCTGATGACAAACTCTACAGAAACTTCACGTACAATTGCTAGCTGAACAAGAAGTCAGATTTAGCTGTGGCTAAAATCTAAGTTGCAATGGAAAGTAAATGTTGCTGAAGTTTTTGGTTTAGCCCATCATGAATGAATTTGTGGCTCCAGCCCACAGATCACATACAAAGTGTGCAAAGCGACTGGAGTAAACTGATAGCAAGAAATCATCAGAAAAAGGGCAAGCAAGGAAAAGAAGCACTTCTTCCTCTAAATTTAGTAAAAGTAATAATTCTGTTTACAAAAGGAAATGTTTAATTGATATCTTTCTTTTGTTGACATATGATGTTACAGATTTCTTTCCATTACTCTCACACCTTAGCCAGCCCTCTGCTATAAAAAGGTTAGACTCCTGCTATCTCACAAATAGCCTCTTGCTGTCTCACAAGTAGCCTCTTTGATGCTAATCATCCATTTATTTGCTTTATATATCTTCTCTGCAGTTTTAGATCCTCCAAGTTATCTTAGTTTGCATGAGACTGTCAGTGAACCAGATAACATTCAGACTGTTGTGAGGGAAGACGTTCAAAGCCCTAGAGCTGTGTTAACCTGAGTTGTAGCCCAGTTCCCTGACAAGACTGCCAGCTTGAGTGAGTTTATGAACTCAGATAAAACTTTGCTGCTTACTTAATTCTGCAGTGATGAAAAATGTTCTGTGCATTAAGTACCAACCTGCATGATGTGGAATATTAGTACGTAACTAATTGCTAAAGGCATTACAGAGATAAGTATTGCAAGCTGCTCAGACACAGAGGTCACTAAGGCTGTACATATATGTAAAAGAGATGAACGAAGGCCATAAATGGTCTCTTCAGAAACGCCATCCTTAGCTATCTCCCTGGTGTAAAAATACAGAAACTGAAAGAGCAGAGTTAAATAGCTGTAGCAGAAAGTTAACATTCAGGATGACTGATTGTAAAATACTGATTTTTTTTAAATGTGTTTTTTTATGATTTACATGCTCCACTTGGATATGAAATCCTGACATGTTAGATGTCACCACAGCCTCAGTAATGTCTTGCCTACCATAACGATTCTGCGACTGAATGCCTGTCAAAAACAAGATCCAGGCACTACGGTCCTGCATGACAGCACCAGGAGAATAAATTCACCACAGGAGGCAGCTCTGGCAACCCAGTGGAATTTCACTGGGGGATAACGTTTTACCCATGCTCTCATTCCCACACAATCTTGCACGGAGTTGCCAGAGAGAAATAAAGGTATTACCAGTGCTATAAAAGCCTGAAGGCTTTGGAGGATGGGGCTGCCTCTCTCCAGCTGAACTCGGATGAAATTTTTGAACTGGAGAAGCGTGCTGTGAATTTGGAGCTGCAGAGGCCTTCCCTCCAGGCAAGATTTTGAGCATAAGATTTTAGAGGAGTCTGTTTTATTATTACAACTGCTGACGTGTGAGGGCAATAAGCTGTCTAATCTAACGGTAATTTTGAACTGAAAGTTCAGGATGGGAGGTGCTGAGAGGGAACAAAAGAATGCAAAGTTAAGCAACAAGTGATGGACACAGAGAGTGAATAGCATTTCCAGTTTTGGGGAAATGGGCATCATCCTGCTAAAGTTATACATAGCATGGAAAATAAGAGTAAAAGAAAGGGCAGGGAAGGGTGCAAAGCTAGCTTTGTGGCACCAGCGTGACTCACTCTACTCTCAGGGAGCTGGAATTCAGCTATATCTGTTTCTGTCATCAGTCTGGAGGAGACACACAGAACTACTTACACTAAATGGGCACTTTCCTTCCTCGATGCCGCTTTAAACAATGGCAGCAAAGAGAGGAAATTTCATAGGATGTAGAGGAACTTCTATCCTCGCCAATACTAGGAACATTTCTCACCATTGCACATACGAAGCATGGATTGATCTAGCCTATAATAATCAGTGAGCACTAATACGGAATTTCCAGCAGTTAAATGTTTGTTACACCACTGATAGGAGACAACTTTTAGAATTTTATGCCTCTCTTTTGCAGTCCCTTTCAAAGAGGTCTCCTGTTCACTTCAGAATTTTTAAAAATGACTGAAATTCCTCTACTGAATGTTCCCTTCTCAAACCAGAGTGAAAACAAGAGCAACTCAACTACTTGCCCAGACTTGAAAGACTGGTGGGAAATCGTGTACTATATAGTACCCAAGTATATCAACACCATCTGTGCCATTGGAATACTTGGAAATGCATTTGTTCTCTTAACTTATTCACTGCAAAAGGGCCCTGTGAAGATAGCTGAAATCTACCTTATGAACCTAGCTGTTGCTGATCTTATCTTCCTCACGTGCCTCCCTTTCTGGGCAGAGAACATCAAGAATGAATTTAATTGGCCGTTTGGCAATTTCCTTTGTCGTAGCACCAGCGCATCCATCAGGCTAAACTTATACACCAGCATCTACTTGCTAGTGGCGGTCAGCATGGATCGCTATTTGACTTTTGTTCATACCTTGAACCACAGAGGGATACGGAGCAAAACTATGGCCAAAGGGATCTGCTTGCTCACCTGGTTCTTCGGCATGCTTCTCAGCGTCCCAACCTTTATGTTTCGGACTGTGAAACACTTTCCCCTGTGGAATATTTCAGCATGCACTTTAGACTTCCCCACCCCATCATGGATAACAGCTGAGCGCCTGGTATTCAACATAGTGGGGTTTGCTTTGCCATCGACAGCAATCATCTTCCTTAATTGCTCTACCATTTGCTCCCTACAAAAACAAGCAAGAGAACGAAGAGGACTCAGAACAAAGAGTTGCAAGGAGCACAGAGGCACAAAGGCTACAAGGTTGATCTTCGCAGTGGTACTGATGTTTCTTTTGTGCTGGACTCCTTACCATTTTTTTGTATTCCTTGATACATTATACCAGACAGAAGTGATCAAAGGCTGCTTCTGGGAGGAACTGCTTAACTTTGGTGAGCAGTTTGGTTATACTCTGGCTACCACCAACAGTTGCATTAACCCTGTGATTTATGTCTTTGTTGGGAAATACTTCAGGCAAAAGGCTGTAGAAGTTTTTTCACAGTTTATTCCCTCTAGATTTCCTTTGAGCTGGGTGTCATTCAAACAAAAGTCTTCATATTTCAACACATTTCCAGTCAGGAGTAGTTTAACCTAATGGTTCTCAGTTCCATCTTCATTTTGATATTACAACTTATTTTAAATGACATTAAAAATTAATATGAATTGCACTGATCTGGCATTCACAGACTAAGCTAATTATTTATTAAAGTAAATCACTTTACTGCTTATTTGTCCTCAGGTTTTCTTCTCTTTTTCTGTGTTATCCATCCAAATGCATAACAAGTGATACCAAAATTTTATACCAAATAATCTAACATGTCTAATCAATTACCAGTGGCTTGAAAGAAAATATCTCTTTGACAAGATATCAGAAGTCTGGTTCCTTTACAGAAAGCCATAAGCTGGCTGAACATTTTACTGCATTGTATCTGTGATGACAACTACTATACCACCAATAACATTATACATCAAATTATAACATGTATTACAGAGCAAATATGAGCTTAACCTTCAGCTGATAGCTGCATTTGAGCAATTATAGAATAGCTCTAGTTATTTTTAACAATATTTCAAATGGTTTGCACTTTCATTGTAACATGGAAAATTTGAATAATTTTTTGTGCATTTCAAATATATTTGTATTTTAATGTATTTTATGCAATATATGCATAAATATTGTACAAGACAATGTACCACAAAATAAGCGTACATAAGCTGTAAAAAAAGCAAAGCAACCCGGTATCCACCTCAAAATCTGACTTGTTTTTTGATTCAGTAAAATGTTACACAATTACTCATCAAGCACGTAAAGATTCTTTTTACTTTTTATATATGAAAATATCAGTGATGGCCATTGATACTGTATTATTTTGGAATATCTTTCATCTGAGGCAAATCCTTAGATACATATTTATATTTTTATGAATCAAAATTAATAAACTGCATAATGTCCCATTTTACACCATAGTCTTGTTCTTTCTTATATTTATTTTGTATTTTGTCTATTTTGTAGTTTGTCTCTTGCCCTGCTTCTTTGGGGAAAAACAAATATACAGTTCTGTGATTAAAATTCCTTGCTGCTACCAGAATATAAACTCTGGTGGTGGTAGCAGCAGTAGCAGTAGCAGCAGCAGCAGTAGTAGTAGTAGTCGTAGTAGTAATAATGACACAACAATAATACACCAGACAGGAGATAAGAAGAAGGAAGCTTCTTTTCCATTACAGCCACAATTGCAGAACAGACTTAAGACAACTGAGATATCTGTTCCCATAACTATAAAAATACATGTACGTACAGACATGGAAGAAGAAGACAGGAGATGATGAACTTATAGCACAGCCTGTTTAGCCAGAAAGATATTGAGTGCAGAAAGGGGCATGCAAGCACATCATTTGTATAACAGTTTATTTAACTAGTTATTATAAAGCCTATTCGGTCTTGTACTCACTGTAACAGTGCTGCATTTTCCGCAGTTCTTTTTAGTGTTGCCATTTTGAATATGGAATTAATTTCTTATTTAATTATAGAAATCTGCCCGTTCAACTTCATTGCAATACCAAATCAAGTAAAAATGTTGACTCTTAGGTGGTAGAAAGCAGTCTGCACGTAATACATGCTGGAGCTTTCGGCAGCCAGATCCCATTCTCACAGAGATGCTTAAACCCTCCGCAGTTGTGGATGGTTTGTGACAGGGTTTCACAAGAGACCTGGTCACAGAGCAACAGAGCCCACTTCGCTGCCTGAGGGTGGTTGTGGGCAAAGGCAGTGGGTGTCAAGGAAGCTGCTTGCTCATGGTCCTAGTGAGCTTGCTGGTGCAGTCCCAGCAGCAGGAAAGGAACAAGTGACAAAAGCTGTGCCAGACCGCAGGACCAGAATCAGACTGGGGAAATGGGGCTGTGGCTGGAGGTTAATGCTGAACAGAGAAATAGCTGACTGGAGACTGGGAGTCGAGAAACAGGAAAAGACTGAGGGGAGAGAAGAAAGCAACTACCAGTGTCTCTCTCAGCCACTTCCCAATTCAGGAGTGTGTGGAGGAGCAGGGAGGTCACACTGACCAAAAGAAATCATTGAGGGAGGAGAGGAGACAGGGACTGGCTGTACCAGGAGACACAGCAGGAACCAGTGTGCATGTGAAGGGGAAACGGCTTTAACAAGGAACTGGGAAAGAGCTGGGACCTGCTGGGCAAGGAGGCCAGAGCAAAGTGTAAAAAAGGGAAGAGGAGGCAGATGCCTCAGGATGGGACTTGGGATATTAAAAAAAACCTGTCAAAAATAAAAACATTAAAAGAAATTTGAGTTTACCAAATCAAGCATTCAAGGACCAGGAAACGTTGACCTAAGACTGTCCCTAGAATCTCAGTGTGGCCTCCTTCAGTGTACGAGTTATAATACAGTCTTCTATGACTAAGTTTTGAATTTCCAACATTGCAACTTAACCACTTCTGATTTAGCTTCGTGTCACTCTGCCTTATGTGGGAGAGAAACACACTTACATAAACCAAACAGGACCCTCAAGAAACTAAATCATCCGTCCTGCATATTAAATAAAAACAACAGTACTGAGAACACACATCCTGCCTTGAATTTTACAGAAAGAAATCTTTGAAACAACACATAATTAAACTGAAAAAATTAAACTGAAAAATTTGCTGCAGTGAGATTATATAGAGGCAAATGAGTCAATCACATATAATCATAACTGAAAAGATTACAAGAAATTCTAAAATAAGAGCAATTAGGAAGAACATTGTCATCAGCACAAATGTAGGAAGGAACATCCCCCTTTCCTTGTAGCACAGTAGGATGCCTGGCAAACAGTAGACACCACCCTTGGTCACTGGAAAGGAGGGGTCAAAACAACTTCATCATAGAAGAGTAAGGCAGAGCTTTGGGTCCATCAGGAGGGCAGGAGGAGGGCAGAACTGGGGATTCGAAAAAATCCTACTCTGTCAGCTCAGGGCACATAGAGAATAGCTGGAAACACAGATCCCCCGGGCTGGACCATGCAAGAGCAGCTTTTTATTTTTCCCTAAGGGAATGTGAAGCTTGAAGGCAAAACAAACCCATCTGAAGAGCATGCCAGCTTATTGTACTTTCGTGTTTTAGCTGTTTTTTTCTTCAAGTTTTCAGTAGTTGCTGTTCGTTGCGAAGCCTGTTATTTCACACGTGACTGAGAGTAAAATCCTGAGTATCTTTCTCAGCCTACTGGGCTAGATGAGGGACATGTCCTTCCCTAGCCCCAAACAATAGAGAGGCCTTGCAACTAGTATGTTTCTCCCTGGTGGAGAACAGCCATGGACCCATTTAGGCACAGGTATCATGCCCTACTTTAATTCTCTCACTCCAGAACACACTGCATTGCAAATACCCATCACACTGAGCAAGGGAAAATGTTAGCAAAGCTGTGCTCCAAAGGAGTGAACACCTTCTTTCTTTCCTTTTTTGTTGCTATTGCAAAAAAAGGCCAGTCTTGCTGGATGAGTTTACTCCGCAGGTGCTCACAAAGAACCAGGATTTGACCCATTCTTGAGTTTCACCTTGGTTATTAAGCTTGAACAGATCCAACTGCCTCTCAAGGTCAATCCATGGGCAGCAATGCATCATACTACCTTGTGCGAATGGTAAGAGGGGAAAAGCCTGCTTTAGCACTCTGCTCCTCTGTTTCTGGCAGGAGAACCTTGTCTACACAACCTACTTTGGCCATGCTGTTGCTGCAAATACAGTAACTCTCTTGTGCTATCAAGCAGTGGTCATGGGGGGGTATTAAATGACATGACACAGTAAAAAGGGATCAATGAATTCAAAACTTCCTACTTTTAAAGCATATGTGTGGCTGGTTGCAGTGCATGCTACAGGAAAACACCTTAGGAAGCAATTGCTCAAGAAAATCCTCTTCTGCCATCTTAATCTTGTGCACTGCAGGTTTGTTCCAGCAAAATCTTCACTATCCGCTAGTGATATTTTCTTTCAGGAGCTGAGGCGTATTCTCCATCATCACTGTAATCTACAGCTACAGCTGGGAGAGATGTTCTCCTCTGGGAAGTAATTCACACACAGAAAAGTTCACATTTGGTTTCACACATTGCTATTTACCTATTTCAACTCCTGCACAGCAAATCCCCAGCCACGTATTAGGAATGAAACCAGCCACTACCATTTCCCACAGGAAGAGATGGAATAAGTCTCACATCCATCACACAAGACTAACTCAACAGATAAACTGCAAGGTCCAAATCCTGAAAAAACTTTTCAAATTGTCCCAGTATCTTTCTGATGTGTGGACAAATGCATGTGTCAGGTCACTATGGAGTGAGAAAGGCTCATCATTCAGCACTGGGAGGAAGGTAAGTAGAAATATTTAATCTGCAGCCTCAAGCACTCCTTATCTGAGTGACAGGACTGTTCTACGAATAACAGGTTAGAGGCCAAAACCTCACCTCACGAACATCACAGTAAATTGAAATTAGTGGAGCTATACCTATTTGTACCAGTCAAAGGGCTAGTCCTGAACAAAGATAGTGACTTTGAGTAGCTACCATTACACCATTTTAAAGTTACTATAATTTTTTCAAAGTCAAAAGAATTACATGAATGTAAAGCTAGCATAATAAGCAAGAGTCTCTGTCTCTTTTCCCCTATGTTTTTTAGCTATAAAGCTTCTGATAAAAATCTCTTTCACGTGACAAAACTACTAGTGTGCATTGTAGAAGTTGTTGGGGGTGATAAGGATTTGCCCTTTTGCAGGACAAATCATGAAGAGACAGAACCTGTGATCAGCCTCTAATGATAAAGTGAGACACTCATTATGTTCAGTTTTGAAAAAAGATAGGTAAATTGCAGAAGAAAGCCAAGACTTGATACTAAATTTAATCAATGGAAAAGCAGCTAAGACATTTTTAAAAAGGAAAAAAAAAAAGAAAATTTAAAGATCAGGCTGCGTCTTCTGTAAAACTTTAGTCAGTCTCTCAAGAACCACAAGAAGCACTAAGCCTCTGAGTGAGGCCTCTTGCCAACATTGCTTAACTCTTATCTGCTGGTTGCGTGCGAGCTGCCCGGCGTGGATGATCTGATGGGAATTAATGCCCTAAAATATCCTTATGTTTTAGGCATTATTGCAGATAAATAGTAATCTACTGGAATAGCCAAAATTATTTGTGAGATGTTATGATGCTTAGCACAGTTTTGTCTTCTGTCTTGCCTCAGACATTTGGACGTGAAGGGCTGCAAAGCACCACTAGGTTGGCTAAATACAGAGTTCTGCAACTGTAAGAAAACTTTGTGTAGCGTCATCAAATATATATCCAGGCAGACTTTCTTCTTCCCAGGGTATGGGAGAAAAGGAATACTCTGCTTTGTTTGGCAACTACTTCAGAGCTGTTAAATAACAACCCATCACTATCAGGCTATCATGGAAAAGGTTATCATTACCCTATTAAAGAAAGAGGGAATTAATGATGGCAGAAGATTAATGCAACAAAGTGAATTGCAGGTATATGAGAACATATGTAGACTGCCATTTGTCAATGGTATCAAAATCCCTACAGCCAGCCCGGGGGTACATAGCAGGCTCAGTGCCACCAATATGTTTCAGGTCACCATCAATAGAATGAGGCTTACAAATTTCACAGATGTCTTGTGACACCTAAAAATAAAATAG